AAAGAGAGAAAATGCTTTCTGCACGAACCACCTACTAGCCGTTGTATTTGGGTGGAACAGTGTGGGACTCTCCGTACAACTTATCAAAACCAGCATACCCACTAAAAACTCTCTGATTTCCTCGGCAGCAGCTTTCCTTTGATTTTTCCAGGCGGGAATTTTTGTCCAAAATTTTTGAAAATCGGTAACTGGAAAACCCGATTTGGCTGGAATTGAACCTGGAACCTTTCTTTGTCGAATTTTTGAGCGTAAAACCTGGTAAAACCATAACAAAACCCAAGTTCTAACAGCTTGACCAATTCAAAGCGGACGATCTATTCGACTGTCATCGGAGTAAGTGTCAATTTCAACGTCTGATAAATTTTTATTATACGTTTATTACTAGTTTTCTTCACCAAATTAATTTCATTTTCCATCATTGTTCTGATAAATGAACAGTAGAGCCTACACTTTACAAAGTTAGTTATAAATACATTTATATATTTCATATTAATACATATTACTTTATTAAAAAAAAAAAAAAAAATTACTACTCGTAATTGAATATTCTTGTGTTACATTCTATGCCAACAGAACAATGTCAAACTTATACAAGGAAGCTGAAAGGTTTTTGACTCCAAATCAAAAGGAAGGTTCCCTTCAAACAAGGGTCTTCAATGCTGCTAGAAACAAACAGATCAAAACAGATCCAAAGCATGTTTATGCTCTTGTATCTTCCACTTTGAAATATAAACCATTTATCCTTGATATCATCAAGAAAGCCAAGTTATTGAAAGAGGAAAAACAAATTAGAGAAACTCAAGCATTACTCTTGGTCCATGATTTACTGTTTTCAAGATCAGGTAGAATTCAAATGGGTAAAACACCTTTAAAAGACTCTGTATTGAAACATAAAACTAGATTATCAGCTGAATTAACCAAATTGAAATTGAAACACAAAGTACGAAGCTTTGATGAGTTAATCGAGGAGGATGATACACCAGTAAGATGGTTCAGAGCTAATACCATTAAAACTACAAAAGAGAAAGTATTATCAGAATTAGAACATCTTGAAGAAGTTGATAGTATTAAGAAAATCCAACCGGGTACTATTTATCATGATGAATTTATACCCAACTTATTTGGTATTCATCCAAAAGAAAAAATTACAACAACTAAACTTTATGAAAAAGGTCACATTATCATTCAAGATAGAGCTTCATGTTTCCCTGCACATATTTTAAATCCAGGTCCTGATGATTACGTTATTGATTCATGTGCAGCACCTGGTAATAAAACTACACATTTAGCAAGTTATATTCAACGTGATGGTTCAATAAATGCATTTGAAAGGGATGTTCGTCGTTCTAAAATTTTAGATAAGATGGTTACAACAGCTGGTGCTTCTAAGATTGTTAAAATTAATACTGGTGATTTCACACAAAGTAAACCATCTGATTTTGAAGATGTTACTGGACTTGTTGTTGATCCATCATGCTCTGGTAGTGGTATCTTCGGTAGAGCTCATGAAGAGGAAAATCCAGAAGGTTCATATAGTGATGAAAGATTACAAAAATTATCATCATTCCAATTTTCCATTGTTAAACATGCTTTAAGTTTCCCAAATGCTAAAAAAGTTGTTTATTCAACTTGTTCAATCCATGCACAAGAAAATGAAAGAGTTGTTATTGATTTATTAAATGATTCACAAGTTAAAAACGCTGGTTGGAAAGTTGCAAATCGTTCAAGAGTTATCCCAATGTGGCCAAGAAGAGGTTTAGTGGAAGAATTTCAAAGTTTCCCAAATCCTGAACAATTAGCTGGTGGTTGTATTAGATCTATTCCAAAGGTTGATGGTGGTATTGGATTCTTTGCTGTTTTATTTGAACGTGATGTTGGTTCAGAACTTGAAAAGGCAAAAGATGTGAAAGTTGAAGATATAGAAGTTGAAGATGCGGAAGAAGAAGGAGAACAAGACCAAGAAGATCAAGAATCTGAATACGAAGAATGGAATGGGTTTGACTAGCAAAAAAAATAATATATTCTAATCTAAAATTATATAGCTCATTTTATATATGCATTTTAAGAGTATCTAACTCATTGTAAACGTTTAACAACATCATCAATAACTTGTTGAGTAGTTGATTTACCACCTAAATCTGGAGTTTTAACTTGACCTTCACTCAAGTTAGCATCAACAGCAGCATAAATATCAGCAGCAGGTTTTGGATAACCTAAGAATTCTAATAATAAAGCAGTTGATCTAATAGTAGCAATTGGGTTAGAAATACCTCTACCAGCAATATCTGGAGCAGAACCGTGACATGGTTCACCAATAACATAGTTTTCGCCAACGTTAGCACTTGGAACAACACCTAAAGAACCAACTAAAGCAGCAGCACCATCTGATAAGATATCACCGTATAAGTTTGGAGCAACAACAACATCAAAGATTTCAGGTTCACGGAACATACGATAAACCATTGAATCAACAATTTGTTCTTGTAAAGCAACTGATGAATATTTATCTTTATTTTGATCATAAAATTTACGAACAGTTTCACGGAATAAACCATCAGAAACACTTAAAACATTTGATTTATGAGTAATGGTTAAAATTGATGATTTATGTAATGAAGCAGCACCTAAATCACGTTGAGCTTGACGTTGTAAGGCAATTTCTAATGCAATTTTACCAATTCTTGTTGTAGCAGTTTCAGTAATTCTTTTGATGGCTTCAGCAGTTTTAGTACCATCAGCATTTTCAAAGATTTTTTCTTCTTTAACATATAAATCTTCGGTATTTTCACGAACAATAACCATATCAACTGGTCTATCATTAGTACCATCAACTGATTTAACAGGACGAACATTAGCATAAAGACCTAATTTTTTACGTAAGGCAACAATTGGTGATGAATAACCAGCAACTTTAGTAGTTGGAGAAGAAACAGCACCAAATAAAGCACCATCAGTTTCATTTTTTAAAATTTCAACAGTTTCTTCTGGTAAAGCAGTACCAGTAGCTTTAAAATGTTCAAAACCAGCTTTTAATTCAACAAAATCAAAGTTTAAACCATGTTTTGATGACAAACCTTCTAAAACTTGTTTACCAGCTGGGATAACTTCTCTACCAATACCATCACCTGGAATTAAACCTAATTTAGATGTTAGTTTATACAGATCTTTACCATTTCACACCCATAATATTGTACCAATCATTCTGAACAATTGTACCCCAGAGTGTGCAATTGAGTTGATACATACCAATTTTTAAGGTTTTTGAGGCAGTTGAATATAATCTTTTAGTGATACTAGATCTGGTGCTTAACATTTTCAGCAATATAATTGATGTTTTGAATTGGATCAATATAATTCAGAAAATTATGTCTGCTTTCGAATTTTGACAGCCTTTATCGATTTTTTCAATTATGAATCATCGCGGTCTTTTTTTTTTTTTTTTTTTCATTTGACCGATCGCGAAATATTTGAGTGTGTGTATCAGATTTTGATAATGCACAAGAATAAGTTTATCTTTGAATTTGCATTTCTTGTTTGATTTAACGTTTGATAATAAGTCAATTTGCTTGTAAGGGAATACAGGAGATAGTGTTTGAGCAGAGGGTGCATAAGTTTGTGTCAAAGTGATGAAGTGGAGCAACTTGAAGGGATCAGCTTGAATCTAGATGAATTATGCACATGTCCAACTATAAGCTCAAGGTTTGCCACTAGTTATCATTTATAAACACAGATAGTTTAAGCTTAAGATTGCTGCTTGTATAATTAAAGCTAGCTCTAGACTTCCATTAACAAGTCTACAAATGTCAAACTATATTTTACGTGTTGATATAAAAACAAGCAAATCAGATAAATTCCTCTTGCTCAACAATATAGTTAAGTGCTTGATACTAATATCTCTCTTTTGTACATCTAGTACATCCAGTTTAAAGGTTTTCAAGTTTATACGCTATCAATCCTCAATTCACATTTTGTTGAGAAAATGGTTGTTATTATAATTTGTATTGGTGGTAGTGTTGCTGCTACTCTTATGATGAATATGATAGGCAATTCACTTGAGGTCAACAGAAGTTATAGAAATACGGCTAGAGAAATAGATGCTTCATCTTATAAAAGCACCAATCATAAAAGCGATTGTGGAAGATGTTGCCACTAAGGTGTTGATTGGTTTGTTAATATGGCTATAATGGAAACGTTTTCAATACTATATTACGAATTAAAGTCATTGTTGTACCGTTCTACCTCATAAGTACTTATTGAAAGCTCTTAAATTTTATCAACAGGGTCGAATATTATCATAATATATATAATTTGATGGATATATAATCATTATAATATACAACACAATACAACACATAATACTTGATCTCGTTTGAGTACTAATTTAGCCACATTATATACGGGGCCAATTAATAAATTGCGTTATTAGCTAATACGGATGGTTATGATAAAAGTATAAATGAATGGTGCCAGCTTCATTTAAAGCATCACATGTATTATTAACCGTGTATGTTTATGAGCTCAAATTGGTATATATTGCATTCCTAAGATGACTTGAATACAGCTATCTCAATTCACTAGCTGATCATTGTTCCAAGAAACTTGCTTCTAGCGCACGCACTAAATTGTATTGAACAGGTACTTTGTTATTTCCATTGTGATTAGCAGTATAATAGTTCATATTAGTAGTTGAAAAGTCTATTGTTTTATTTGATCATCAATTGTATCCACAATATTACTAGCTGGTAGTTCAGAGATGCGCCTCGGCCCTTGACGCCTCAATTTTTACGAGATGGGTATAAATTATTTTTCCGACAAAATTCAACTCGAGACTCGAGAGCTTTAAACTTAATGATGATGTGATGATTCACACTACATCAACCCTTAAGCCAAAACTTTTTCGAAAGCTCTGACACACATATTCCTTCATATCTGTGCAATGGCTGACAATGATTTCCCAAGTTTTGATTTGAACGATGAATATTGTTATACTTTAATATTGAGAAGGTGTTCAAAGTTATTGACAACGTCTCTTGATGCTTTACCTGATTTTCAAGATTACATTTTGAAGGGGTTTGATATTTCCAAACTTAAGATTCCTGCAGCTACTAATGGTGAGTTGATAAATTTAATGATATACTTATCAGAGGATGAATTACTAACGAAACCTCTTTCATTCAGCTGCTTATGACATTTTTAATCTCTTATTTCAACCTTTCAGCTTCAGTGATAAATTTAGTACTGATCAAAAGCACATGATAAAGTTGATGGAGATTGATGGACTCGAAGGGTGTTGGTACTACAAAAAGATGTATAAGTTTGTGTTTTCCATTGAGGTAGCCACAAAATTTGAATCATTAGGTTATGTCCACGATGTTAAACTAAAAAAGAGTCAACTGAAGTATCAAAACCAATCTAGAAAAACCCATTACTCGAACACGGAGCCGTTTATATCAAATGATGTATTCAAAGCAAATTGTGACGCACTTGAACACTTCTTACAAACTAAAATGGAGGGGATGACTGATTATGAAGTGTACTCCAGCACAAAACGTTTTATAGATGGGATTCATAATGATTTATCAATTATTAAAAATGAAAACTCAAGGGTCCCATTTAAGGAGGTAAATTTTAGAACAATGTTTAACCAGCAGTTAATAAAGCCAATATCAAGATTTTTCTCAGAGATCATTGCTAAGAGATGTGATGGTCTGGTCCAACCTTGCTTCAGCTCATTAGAAGAAAAATCAATCCATGTAAAGAGATTTGGTCTTTCAAAGAGTATTTTCAAGAAACTTAAGTCCTCAGTCTGGGAAAGAATGAAGAATACCAACATGAAATATCAAGGTCTGAAAGATTTATCTATCACTTACGAAGGGCCATTAAAGGTATCAGATGATAAAATAAGCATTGAATTTAAAAACATCATTTCAAATATAGACATTCTGAAACCATATACTAGAGATGTAATCCTTGGACAAGTTAATCTTTACATGTTCAATGGTAGAAGAAATAATTATATCCTATCTAATTTCGAACAATCATGGTATATTGAGATATCAAATGATCAACCTGAAACCAGTATAGTAAGAGTGGGAAATGGTTCAAAATTGAATAATCAAGATCTATATTTGAATAACAAAGTGAAAGTTTTACCAATAGGACTAAGAGCTAGAAGTAATGATGAAGGTATGAAAACACAGTTATTTTTGGCCATTAGAATGTTTGATTTATTTGGAAGATCACTCGAAAAAGACTACACTAGTGGGTTTGAAGGTTATTATTCATTTTCATTTCAAAATCAAGCTGATCGTAAAAATTGGATCAAAATTCAAGATCAGATCATCTACTCCAAATTTGGATCAAAGTTAAGTGGTAGTATTGTTCCTTTGGACTCTGATGGTGATAAGGAACCACCATATAAGAAATCTAAGATTATTGATGAGAAAGATAAACCGGGTATTGGGGGAGAAGTTTATGATTCTGATGATGTGGTATCTTCTTTTGTAAACACATCATGGGACCAGTTATTCATATCATCATATGATTGTATTGATCATTATAAAACAACAAAAGCTTCAGGTATTTTCAAATTAACGTGTGGAGTTAAAGAATTCAAGGAAAGCATTCAGACCGCGGAAGTCTTGATGGATGAGCGCTGCCAGAAGCATTCTCAGGTTTTAGTTGAAGGATATGATTTATTTCAGGAGTACAACTATTGGTTTATGAAGGTTTCCCCATTTGAAGAACTTAAAGTAGCTCCCAATCATGGTCAAATTAACAAAAATGTGAAAACTATTATCAAAAATCATCAGCAGAAGTTGAAGATTTTGGATATCATTCAGGCATATAACTCAAAAAACAAATCTGGAAAAATAATTAGAATTCCTCCAGTTTTAAAATATGGCTATGGAATGACTATTATTAACGATGAATACAAACATCTCGGGCCATACATTGCTTTTCAAATCCCAAATTCTGATATTCTGAGATACAAACCTTTTGAAAAGAATCAAGTCGATGACTTAAGATCACAAATTGAAAAGCTTCATGAACTCAAGATTCATCATAACAAACTTTGTGCTAAATCATTGTACTGTATTGATGATAAATCTTATATAATGGATTTTAATGATGCTACATTATTCTCTGATTGTGATAAGAAAACATGCGAAGATTATAAATTCTTGAATGAACTGAGCAGAATTGTTGATATTCTGAATCATTGATGTACATTATGTATTATAGTTTAATATATATCTTCAAACTTTTATTAATCTATTTACTAATTCATGTATTGAATCTAATTGATTTCCATATACTTGTATCATGAATATATTGTAGAATTAAAATTTTAACGAAAAAGAAGGTCCAAAAGTGGGATATATAAGAGCAGATGAAAATAATCAATAAAAGCTTGGTTCATCATAAGTCTTCATACATTTTTGATATTGATCTAATGTAAAACTAGCAAGGAAGCACCAACTACCATTGCAATCATCAGTACCAATACAATTTGGAACATATGGACTAAATCTTCTTTTGTAATTGTTGTAAAGTTGTGTAACTTCTTCAGTTGTGTTAACCGCAGTAGCAACTCTATGCCAGAAAGTTGCATTTAACGCTTCATCTTCAGGCCATTGTGTGATATCTTGATAAGCTTCTCTTGCACTATATTCAAATTCCCAAACAGGTTCTTCATTACCATTAGTGAAAGTCCCGTTTAATTTTGTATAGTAATTGTAAGAATTCATAACACTATGAGTTTTGGTATCAATAGCATAATATCTCCATGATGGATTATTTTCAGTTAATGGTGTAACAGCTTGTGAAATCCATGCATTTGCAACAACATTGTCTTCAGACTTATTAGTAATATCAGTACCATCATATAAGATATTAAATTGATCCATATGAGTATGACCAAAGAAAATACCTGCAATAGTGTACGGTGAAAATCTTTTAATAATTTGAGTGAAAATCTCAGCAGGTAATGGTAAAGCTTCTTGAATTAATGGAATATGAGCCATAATCCAAACTCTTTGATCTTTAGCTTCAGCATCAACTAATTCATCAATTAAGAATTGGAATTGTCCAAAAGAATCAATATCAGTTGCGTTCCAATACATGTATAAATTCTTAACATAATAAGCATTTGAATTTAATGCAATAATTTTCAAATTTGTTGAAGTTGTAACTGAAAACCCAGCATAATGTTTTCTAACAACACGAGCAGTTGAAGCATTAATCCAACCATATTCTTCCCACATTTCAGCCATTAAGTCAGCATTCCAATCAAATAAGTTACCAAATCCAGATTTTTCTTGAGCTAATTGAGCATAAGGGAAAGTATCATGATTACCTAAAACTGAATAAACTGGAACATCTTTTAAAGTTCTTTTCAAATCACGGAAAATGATTTCTTCAGATTCAACATTTGAAAAATAACTCTTATATTGTGCTTCATCATGTTCAACTAAATCACCAGTGAATATAGTGAATTTGAAATCTAACCCTAATTCTTCTTGATATTGAGCAACAGATTTTAATGAACTATTAACCAATACAGGTGGTGCATCACATTCATAATGGCCAAAAGTATTTGCAGGATACCAAACTGAAGAGTTATTAATATCAACATCAACTGGTTCACCATATTGAACATCGTTTTGATCATCATACCAAGCTGGAGTATAAGATAAATTACCAATTTGATCTTCAGTCATATTGGTAGTAAATTTATAACCTTCTGGAGGTGGATGTTTGGCAACACTATGTGGAGTACAACACATACCCATTGTACAATTAGTTTCTGATCCAATCTCATAATTCAATTCAATGTGGAAATCTGAAACATGAAGAACATTGTAAGTTTCATTACCAGGTTTTGGAGCATGATAATGTTTTTCTTGTTTTTCAGGCCAATATGATGACATATCAACTTTTGGAGTTTCTGGTAATGGACAACCTTTATTATCTTGGAAATGGCAATATAATTGACCATCATAAGAGTTTGGATCCATAAGATAAAGCATATTAGCAAAATTTGTACCAAAAGTTGAATTATCAACTGTATTTCTTCCATAATTTGTTTTACAAGTTAAAGCAGAAGCAACACCATTATCAGTACACCATTTTGTGAATACCGGATAAACTAAATTTGGTTTTGTCAATGCAATTGATTTACCCAATTGTAATCTTTTGATACATTTTTCACACTTTGTAGTATTTGTACCGTTAAACTTGTCAATATTTGTCAATTGTTGAGAAAACAAATCAATTAAATGTTGATCATCCGGGGTATAACCAGTTGAATCTAAAGCCAATTCCAAGTCATACAATGGAGATGCCCAAGCCAGCGGAGCCAATAAACCAGCAGCGAGTGTGGATATTTTCATTCTGTATAACGAGTGTGATGATTTGAGATCTGATAAATTGCCTATCAAACTTATCACAATATAATAGGAGAATCTTCCATGTCTTTATATCCAAACCAACTCCGTCTTTCAACAGCCAAAAAGAATCAATAAAACTCAACTAAAAATCTCAGTTAAATGCAGCCAAATTCCAATATTCTGCTCAACCAATCGCTGCAAATCATCGTTTCTGTTCAAACAATCAATTCACTGTTTTGTACAGATTTGTTTATCAGCGCTTAATTGATGCAGAAGTTTACAAAACGTGGGTATTTGAGGTTGACAAAGGCTGGAATATCTAGGCGGGAAGCACTTTTGAAACAGGCTAAGTATTACGCTGAGACTACGGGCAAACTGTGCTGGAATCTACGCTTAGGGCTGACAGTGTCTACTTAAAGCCAAAACTCCGAGTACCAAAAACGTTTTTAAGCGGGTTTACTTTATCAATTCATCAAAGCTTTTATGAGTCGATTCAATGCAATAGAGATTTTCTACTTTGATGATCGTATTTTATTAAGCTACAATTTTTAGTCGTTCATCATTTATCTGAGCTGAAAATGTATTGTTGTTTACCAGTGTTAGTTGTGGAATATCTGATAATCTACGACAAAACCGTTAGACGGTTAAATAGAATTTCTATTCATCTGTAAACGTTTTATATAAAGGATAGTTGATAACATGTTTGTCATCGTTAGAATGAAAATGGAAAACGTGGAAAGAAAGTAATTGAATGTAACTGTACTTATGTACAACTCCAGGTTGTCTTAGTGTCTTGTAAACCATTGTGCGGGTATATCTAGATCTATTGAAATTTTGGTTCATCAAATGCCTTCATACAAGCTTCATAATCTTTTAATGTAAAACTTGACAAGAAACAAAAACTACCATCACAATCATTAGTACCAATACATTGTTCCACAAATGGACTAAATCTTCTTTTATAATTATTATAAGTTTGTGCAACTTCATCTGATTCATGAATTGCATGTGCAACTTTATGCCAAAATGTAGCATTTAATGGTGATGAGTCTGGCCAATTTGGTACAACATTTGAATAAGCTTCTCTAGCACTATACTCAAATTCCCAATTTGGTTCTGATGAGCCTTCATACCAAGTTTCATTTAATTTAAAATAATAATTATATGAATTCATAACACTATGAGTCTTGGAATCAATTGTATAATATCTCCATGATGGATTATTTTGAAATAATGGTGTAACAGCTTGTGAAATCCATGCAATATTAACTGCATTATCTTCAGTTTTATTTGTAACTTCACCATCATACAAAATATTGAATTGATCTTCATGGGTATGACCAAAAAAAATACCTGCAATTGTATATGGAGAAAATCTTTTTAAAATTTGTTGGAAAACTTCAGCTGGAATTGGTAAAGCTTCTTGAATGAATGGAATATGTGCAATAATCCAAACTCTTTGATCTTTTGATTCAGATTCAATTAATTCATCAATTAAAAATTGGAATTGACCAAATGAATCAATATCAGTTGCATTCCAATAATTATATAAATTTGATGCATAATAAGCATTTGAATTTAATGCAATAACTTTTAAATTTGTTGAAGTTTCCACTGCAAAACCTGAATAATGTTTTCTAACATATCTAGCAGTTGATGAATTAATCCAATTATAGTCTTCCCATAAATCACCCATTAATTCAGCATTCCAATTGAATAAATTTGCAAAACCTGATTTTTCTTGTGCCATTTGTGCATAAGGGAAAGTATCATGATTACCCAAGACAGGATAAACTGGAATATCTTTTAAAGTACTCTTAATATCTCTAAATATAATTTCTTCAGATTTAATATTTTTTTCATAATTTAAATGATTATCTTCATCATGATCAACTAAATCACCTGTAAAGATTGAGAATTTAAAATCTAAACCTAATTTATTTTGATATTTTGCAATTGATTTTAATGAACTATTAATTAAAACTTCTGGTGAATCACATTTATATTGACCCCATGTAGATGCAGGTTGCCATATAGAATCATTAGAAAAAACATCAATTGGTTCATCATATTGTAAATCTCCATTTGAGTCATACCAAGCCGGTGTAAATGATAAATTATTTGCTTGTGATTCAGTTAAATTCATTGTATAGCTCCAACCTTCAGGTTTAATATCTTTATTATCATTATGAGTTGTACAACACATATTTTGAGTACAATTACCCTCGGTACCAATTTGATAATCTAATTCAATATGGAAATCTGAAATATGTAAAACATTATAAGTTTCATTTGATGGTTCAGGTGCTTTAAAATGTTTTGATTGTTTTTCAGGCCAATATGATGACATATCAATTTCTGGAGTTTTAGGTAATGGACATTTTTTATCTTGTTGATAATGACAAAATAATTGACCATCATAAGAATTTGGATCCATTAAAGTTAATAAATTTGCAAAATTTGTACCTTCTGATGCATTATGAACTGTATTTCTTCCATAAGTTAATTTACAAGTTGTTGAATCTTTTAAAATCTCATTATCAATACACCATTTGGTAAAAATTGGATAAATTAAATTTGGTCTTGTTAAAGCAATTGATTTACCTAGATTTAATCTCTTGATACATTTTTCACATTTTGTTGAATTTGTTGAATTAAATTGATCAATTTGAGTTAATTGATTTGAAAATTCATTAATTAAAAAAGTTTCATCTGGTGAATAACTTGTTGTTTCTAAAGTTTTTCCTAAATCATATAATGGTATACCAAAAGTTAATGAAGTTAAAAAACTACCAGTGATGAATAAACTTGACAGTTTCATGATCTCTTGGCTCTTGTGATAAAACTTATTATGATTTATAATAAAACAACGAGCGATATGGGATTCTTGGCTAGTATTTATACCATTCAATAGACAATCTTTAACACTTTATATATCCATTATCATTTGTTGATCTTTTCAATGATTCTCTGGTTGTTTCTTTGTCTTTTCAGTACGATAAAAGATGATCATTACCTCGATGTAGCTTGAAAATGGTCCTCATTGGTTGGTATTGTGAGGTTGATGGTTGAAACAGTTGAAACTTGATGCTCATGTCTTCTGACAAACGTGGGTTCGTAGATCCTTATACTTATCATTGTGAAATCCATCAATTACTATTGCTCGGAGTTGAGATCAAGACACAGAACAAGAGTCACCAACGATTTAAAGCATGAGTACCAGAGTTCAATCGAATTGTGGAATGTTTCTTTGGTGTCTCTGTTTCTCTTTGGCTGCTTATATCAAATCATTGGGTATAAATCTTCAATAATTATGGATCTTTTCCGACTGTGATCTGAGTTCTAACATCTAACTTCTGAGCTCTGAATTCTAAGCACATGGTCTATAACAGCACAAAAGGAGCCAGTAATAATTGGATATCACGGAAGCATTGTCATTTGTTTAATTTAATTCATTGAAAAGGCTCAAAGACGGGTATTTGTGTGTTACCTTATGAACTCGTTGTACTGGTTTCTCTTTTAGCTCTCATTCAATTTTTTGTAGTTACTTTTCGCAGGGTGTGAACATGTGAACATCCATCCACTAAGAAGTAAACACATTTAGGAGAGCATTATCTCTGAATCTCGACACATAAACGATATAACTCCTTAATTAATCTTACTAAATAAATTAATCTAAATACATTGGATCCATTTTATAGTTTCCATCTACGTTTCAAAAATTCACTTTTGTATACTTGTCATATTTTAGCGATTCTGACCCAGCTAGCTGTGAAATGGCTGCCAGCTGGTGAAAATCAGCTAGCTCGAATTTTGAATATCCCTTAACTATGGGAATAATACCACATTTGGCCCTGTCAGAAACACAACATGCTATTGGAAAGAACTAAAGGTATAGGTATATAATTATGACCTCTCAAGTTCGATCTCACTCTTCATAATTGTCATATATGTCATGGTTGCTGAGCTACGACGTTTTTTAAATCTACTGAAATCCGTTTTTTAAATCTTCTCTGTTTTTTAAATCCCCATACAAAAAACCGTGAAAATCGCCGTTTTTTAAGGAGAAATCCCGTACAGACTAGTCTTTCTAAAATTTAAATTTCGTCTCTGCTAACAAAAATAATCGTTAAAATGGTCTACTTTGTAGCATTGTTCCATGATAAGTCCATTTGAAGTATATATGTATTAACAAAGTTTCTTCAATAAATCCATAGCATTTGTCTCATGTGGTTTACATATATCCATGGATAATATGATTGTATCATGGGTATTCAAGAGGTATTCATTTTCTGTTCAAAATTTTAGTTGGTTTTTCTTATTTTCTTTTGCCTCCAAATTTCAAAACCAACTTTTAGTTGGTTTTTTGATTTCATAGTTACTTATAACAAATATAATCACTAAAATGGATGATTTTGTGCTATAACACCATATAAACACCATTTGGAGTATATGTCTCTTAACAAATATTTTTTCAAAACTCTTCATTATTATCCTGGTGTCACTCCCATATACTCATCCAGTTTTAAAAATTTCAATCAAATTTGAATGGTGTGTTGACTTCATTTTCAAAAGTGGTCGCAATCCCATACAAAATTTGAACAGAAAAATTCAAATTAGAGATGATGAGTAAGTACAATTTCCATTGTAAATATCTGTTAACAATCAATCAACTATACGAGTTTATCTTTACACTTCAATAAAGGGAGTAACATGACGCTTTAATACATCCCATACTACAACTTCAATTAATCAAATGAACTTTCCCTTCACCAAGGTCTTGAAATGAGTGATCCTACTCTTATCTGATATTTGAGTATGTCGCGTATTTGACTTGTTTAAGATATATTCACAGTTTATCATGAATTTTTAAGGAAACACAACAAAACATCTATGATAAAGATACAATTTTTTTACTTAAAATTTCATGGCTATATAATAGAATTGATCACATACCATAATTGATAATCACAATCATGTTATTCACTCAAATTTTACTGATCTTGTGTCTCTCCTTGATTACAACTTCATTTCCAATAAATTCATTCCCATTCCAATTAATACAAAACCGTTTATCTAAACAATCAGTATACCAATATTCAAATACTCATACTCTTTCAGATTTCAGAATTCAACAATTATTTGGTCTTCATAAATTATTAGTTTCAACTCCTTCAGTATCAAATAATGAATTAGATATTGCACAAAAATTACAATTTTATCTTAAATTAGAAGGTTTAACTGTGGATCTTCAAAAAGTTGAAGAAAATAGATATAATGTGTTGGCATATCATGGTGATTTAAATGATACAAAAGTTGTCTTAACAAGTCATATTGATACAGTCCCACCATTTTTCCCTTATTCTGTTAGTGATGATGGTAAACGAATCTATGGTAGAGGTTCAACAGATGCTAAAGGTTCAGTTGCGGCTCAAATTACAGCTTTTCTAGATTTAATTTGGGATGGTCAATTAAGAGATGGTGATCTTTCTTTATTATTTGTTGTTGGTGAAGAAAATTCAGGTATTGGTATGAAATATGTTGAAGAAAATATTGATTATCATTGGGATTCTGTAATTTTAGGTGAACCAACTGAAAATAAATTAGGTGTTGGTCATAAAGGCGGTTATGGTGGTATTTTAAATGTCACTGGGTTAGCATCACATTCAGGCTATCCTGAATTAGGTATAAATGCAAATACCATCTTGGTTGAATTTTTAAATGAATTGTTAAAAATTAAATTACCAAATGATGAATTATTAGGTGATTCAAGTTTAAATATTGGTAAAATTGAAGGTGGTGTTGCTGGTAATGTTATACCTGCACATGCTGAAGCTACCATATCTTTTAGAGTAGCTTCTGATTTAGAATTTTTCCATAAAATTATCCCTGATTTAATTGCCAATTCATCATATAGTGATAATATTCAATGGATCACAAAAGATCTAGGTAGAACTCCAGTTTATTTTGATCATGAAATACCAGGATTTGAATCAATAATTCTTGGTTATGGTACTGATGCTTTTTCATTACAAAAGAAAAAATTTAAAAATAAAATTCTTTATGGACCTGGTTCAATTCATGTTGCTCATGGTGCTAATGAATATGTTGAAACGGATCAATTAATTGAAGCTGTCCAAGGTTATAGTGAATTAGTTAAACATGTGTTACATAATTGAGAAATATATCTTATGCTCATTCCTTTTTGATCCCTTCTTGATATCTTAAGATTTTCCTAAAAAGGTGTCAAACTAATCGTAGATAGCGGAAATACTAACTAACATTGATCAACTATCTTATAGTTTATGGGGAAGTCTAGCTATACCATGCGTTAAACACCCGTGAACTTCGACGTGGACCATTTACAGTGGCTCGTGGGAGTGTGGGTGTCAACATTTAGATTCCAGGCTCCTTAACATCTCACATTGATGATCGAGTATTAACATTGTCAGAAGTTATATGTTGTTTGTGATATTATGCAGTGAGTTGTAGGATTTGAGGTCTATATATCTTCATTATAAGTTACGGATTCACAAGCGGTTGTATTATAAAGATTGTATCACGTTCGATCTTTGTCAAGGAAAACAATTTAGTAAATCACCATTAAAGAAGTATGTACTTGAGCTTAATGATCTGTACTGCAACTTGTAAATCGCTATAATCATCTACATGATTAAAATACGATAAGAGCGAAATCTTCGAGAAAGGGTTTAAAGATCTGCGATATACATATCGAATATTCTTGGAGGGTGTTCACTGTTCAATCATATTTACATCAACTACACGCATTATTAAGTATGAAGAAAGACTACGAGCTAAGAAATACAGTGTTAAAAGTACGTTAAAAGTTGAAAGTTAAGATGTTATACCCTGATACACCCAAGAAAATATATCGGAGGTTATTCATTTTGATTTGAGGTCATTGATGCATGGAAATAACTGGTTCCTGATTATTGATAGGCTTCTGATTTGAATAGACTTTCCACAAAATTAACCCTTTAGGGTTGAGGTTACTTGGTTCGGGTTTGATTGCTTATAATGATTTGAGGTCCAAATAATATAACCATGTGGTTTGAAGGTCTTATACAATATACTCAATTGAAATCGCCAGGTCAAGAGTATCAATTGAATCAAGATCTAACTTAAAGTATTCGAAACGAGATCTTCCCTAACCATGATACGAGATCACCATTTCATTACAGTATTCTACCTCTGCTATACATCCAGTAATACTTGGATCTTCAGTTGATTAGCCTTGTTCACAAGATCTCTTAACAGCTTTTTAAAAGTGGTGAACTTGAGAAATTGATAATTGTATTATACATCGTGCATATACGCAGATTACCCAAAACTGTTTGATTTAACCTACTTCATCGGGTGATTGGCTCCAATGTTTAATGTACCTCTATAGATCTTTTGTGATAAAGAACCTCAAATCACCTGGACCAGATTCCAGATGCACCCATTTAAAAAGTATATAAACAGGTAAAAGTCTCATCGTTTTCAAAGGTTTTATATGTGATGTTGGTTTTAGCTATCATCAATCAATTACTTATCAAAAGTTTATCAAGATGCAATTTTCAAAAGTTTTACTCACTGCTTCATTAGCTTTATTATCTGCTGCTTCTCCAATTGCTGAAGCTTTACCATGGGCTAAAGCTAACCCACAAGCTGCTGCTGCTGCTCAAGCTTACGCTGATGCTTATGCTGAAGCTGTTGCCATTGCTCACCCAGATCCAAAAGCTTACGCTTTAGCTGCTTCTGCCGATGACTGTGCTGATGTTCAATGTCACATGAACTGTGGTTTAATGATTGTTGCTGGTCAAGATTGTTCTGAAAACTCTGAAGATAATTACTCAGGTCCATATACTTCAGGTTGTTTATGTAATGCTGAAGGTTCCACCAAATTCCAAAGCTACTATGATGCTTGTATGGATTGTGGTTGGACTTTATGGAAATACTATAGTGTCTACTTACAACCAGCTTTAGAAGAATGTCATAAAGACTTCCCATCAGTTTCAACTGAACCAACTGGTACTTCAAGATGTTCAACTACTTTAACTGATGAATACACTAAAGAAACTGATATCAACTACACAACTTTCACCCAATAGATTGATTTCTACTGAAAATAAATTAAACAATTATAATTGTTATAAATAAATAACTTTGATCTTTTAAAACAAAATTGTAGATGACTTTGAATATTAGATCTTTAATTATATAAAATATCCGACTATATCCGAAATTGATTATGTCACCTTCGAGTATTGAATTACATAATCTATAGTATAAGAAAAAATTAAATTATACTGATGAGCTTCACTTACACCATGTTTTGAGAGACCAAGGTGGAAAAAAGACACAAAAATGGCTAGAAAACTTAAAGGAAAGCCAAGTAAGGCAAGTCAAAAACATATTAAAGCTGCAATGTTTAAAGAAGCAGTTAACAGGGTACAAAAACCTGTAACTCCAAAGCCTCAACAACAAAAAAAATTACAACCTAAACCAAAACATGAACAACCAGAACAATTAAATCAAGCATTTATCCCATTTGGTCCAGAAGATACAGTTATGTTAGTTGGTGAAGGTGATTTTTCATTTGCTGCTAGTTGTTTACAACAAGAATATCTTCAACCTTCTAAATTAATCATTACAAGTTTTGATAATTCTGCCAATGAATTAGCATTAAAATATCCACATACTTTCCCAAAAAACAATGAATATTTAAAAGAAAAAGGTGTTGTTATTCATTATAAAATTGATGGTACTGACTTAGTACGATCTTTGAAATTGAAAAAACACATTAATAGTTTCCCCAAATTAGATTTTATTGTTTTCAATTTCCCACATACTGGTCGTGGTATGAAAGATCAAGATAGAAATATTAGAGATCATCAATTATTAGTATTAGGATATTTTAAATCTTGTGTTGAAGTTTTCAAAATGTTAGGATGGGGTACACCAAAACAAAGAAAAAGTAATCTTTCTGAAATGAATGTTTTAAGTACAGAATCTCAAGATAAAGAACCAAAAATTGTTTTATCAGTATTTGAAGGAGAACCATATGATTCATGGAATATTAAATCATTATCCAAGACATTAGGTTTAAAAGTTGAAAGATCTGGTGCTTTTAGATGGGATTTATTTAAAGGTTATGAACATAAAAGAACAAATAGTGAACAGCAAACTACTAAAGTTGCAAATGAAAGAAAAGCTAGAATTTATGTTTTTGAAAAATTCAAAAAACAAATCAAAAAGAAGAAAGTTGATAGTGATGATGAAGATTAAATAGTTAAATACATGCATCTTTCGTTTTGTTTTTTCAAAGTGTATATCAAATACTGTTTATTGTAAGATTAAATATGTGGATATAAATTTAAGGAATATAATTTAAAAGTTTTTTGTTTTTTTTCATTTCAATTACTTATGCTGATGCGGCTAATTCATCAATGATAGCTTGTGTGAATTCTTGAGTTGAAGCTTTACCACCAATATCTTGAGTAGTGGTTTTACCTTCTTGGATAACTTTGTAAACAGCTTTTGAGATTTTATCAGCACTTTCATCTAAACCTAAATGTCTTAATAATAAAGCTGAAGATAAAATCATAGCAGTTGGGTTAGCAACACCTTTACCTTGGATATCTAAACCAACGTGTCTTGAACCTGGTTCGAAAACAGCAAATTCTCTACCATAGTTAGCACCTGGAACTAAACCTGGACCACCAACTAAAGCAGTACCAATGTTTGAAAGAATAGCACCGTATAAGTTTGGAGTGACTAAAACATCAAATTGTTGTGGGTTTGAAACAGCTTGCATAGAAGCGTTATCAACAATGATATCTTTAACATTTATTTCTGGATATTGTTCAGCACCAATGGTTTTAACAGTTGATCTAAATAAACCATCAGCTAATTTCATAATGTTAGCTTTATGAACAGCAGTAACTTCTGATCTGTTGTTTTTTTTAGCAAAATCAAAAGCGAATTTAGCAATTCTTTCAGATTTGAATTGTGTTATAATTTTTAATGATTCAACAACACCTGGAACTGATTCATGTTCTAAACCAGAATATTCACCTTCAGTGTTTTCTCTAATTAAGACTAAATCAATACCATCTAATCTTGTTTTAACACCTGGGATGTTTTTAATTAAAGTTAATGAAGCATAGATATCTAATTCTTTTCTGAAAGCGACATTAAGAGAACCGTGACCTGATTGAGTAGCATCAGTTTTCCAGATACCTTTTAAACCAACTTTGTTTCTTTTCAAAGATTCAACAGCTTCTCTAACACCTTCTTTTGAACCTTCTTTACCGGTAACATTGATTTCTTCCCAGTCAATTGGTAATCTTTCTTTAGCAAAGATTTGTTTAACAGAATCAGTAATTTCTTTACCAATACCATCACCTGGGATTAAGGTAACAGTGTAACGACCACCGTATTTCTTTGGTAAGAGGGAGTCTTGGACCGCAGTAGCGAATGATCTTCTTGATTGAATAAGTCCTGATCTGAGCATTGTGTATATGATGGGATGGGGGTTGTGTACAATAATATAAAGGTGTAAAGAAAGAACTTTTGAATTCAAGTATTAAATTAAATCAAATCTCTGTTTCTCGAGATTTTCACCAAAATAGAAACATCGGAACCGAAATTATAAAATTATTAAAATCCTAATGACACGCGAGAAAAATGGCAGATTCATTCGCGGAAATTTGATCTTCGCGAATTTTATGATATATTTGTTTTATACCTGTTGAATTTGATCAGATTTATGATGTTTGGGTCTATAGAAAGTACAACATCTTCATTACTTCATTCACCAGATTATTCACCATGACTGCCGCTTCTACTGCTTACAAGAACTTACACAACCAACTGCTCATAAACACTAAACAAGCTGTTAAAAAGCAAAATGCCCAATCTCTTAAAAAGACTTTAGCATTGTTAAATTATCAAAGATTAAATGCAATCAAATCAAAAGATGCTGATAAATTAATTCAAATAAATAATGATATCAAACAAGCCAATAAAGATACTGAAGATCCAGTGGTATCAGTGGATCCATTATTAATTGAAAAATTGAAACTTTCAGAAACTGATAAAAACATTAAACATATTCAAGATATTGCTAATTTCTTATCATATCAAAGAACTTATCAAGAATTAATTGAAAGATATAATCCAGGTTTAACTATGACTCAAGAAGATAAAGTTAGAAAAACTGCCAATAGAGTTGGTTTAGATTTACCAGAACAAAAATAGATGGTATAAGTAAGCTTTTGAATAAACATGTACATAATATATTATGAAAATAAGGTGTAATTAAGTGGAATAGCTTTACAATCGAATGTTTAGCATCATAAAAAACCGTCACATTCATTGAAATTATAAATACAGGTGAGTTCTAGTCACTAAACTCCTCATCACTCATGACTCTATTCTGTGTTGGAATCAATTTAAAGAAAGGTAATTTGATTGTATCCCCATTTGATTGATTTGTAGTTTGTACTTTTTGTTTCTTTGTAGGACTACCATCAAAATTTTGTGATGTTGGAATTATCCGTGGTAAAACTCTTGGTGTTGAATCAATATCTAATTTATTTTTAAATTTTATTGGTGATATTGGTGGTGAACTTTGTAAATTTTGTGAAGATATTATTGGATCATTACTTTCTGGATATTCTTTTTCATATGGATCATTCTTTGGTGTGAAAAAATCTTCATCTGAACTACTCTCTTCATCAACAAATAATGTGAATTTAGATTGAGTATCTTCCTTATTAGCATGATCTGATTTATTTTCTAATTTATCTTCTTCTGCATCATCATCACCTTTACCAAGTACATATTTTTCATAATCTCTTGTTATCTCATCACTATCAACATGCTCATCATCTTGTTCTAATTTTAAAGCTGGAACATTATCATGTTTATTAACTTCATTAACATCTTTATCAGACACATCAATATCAGTTCCTTTTGCTAAAGGTGATGTCAAGCCAGGGTCAAAGTCACTTGTTTTTTCAAAAAAGTTTTCACTTTTGGAGCCTTTTGGTGATATATGTAATAATTCAATACTTGATGATGATGATAATCTTGGTAAGTTCTCAATTTTAGAATCTTTAGAACTTGGAGGTGTAGAATTTAAATTAAATTTTTTCAAATTTTTAATAGGTGATCGTAACTGAGAAAATGTAATAGAATCAATTTCTTCTATTTCAGAACTTGGATAAGAGAGTTCACCATCACTTTCAACTCTTATCAGTTTAATACTTGATTCTTTTCGATTAAGAGTTTGATCATTCGTATGCGTTTCTTCCTTCTTTATTGTGTTGTTGTTTCCATCTTGATAAATAGTATTATATTCATCTTCTTTTCCATATTCAAACTCAAAATCATTATTTGTTTTGGGGTCTTCTGGTATTTCTGATTTTTTCTCAGATTCCTCTTCCTCTTCCTCATTTGCTGGAGTTTCAATATCTGCCAATTCACCATCATCAATTTCATCTAGAAGTGCATGATTTGTTGGATCAATTTGATCTTGTGAGATTGGATTAAATGAAGGTCTAGTTGTTGTTTCCACTGGGACCTCATCTGTCAGTGTTCTATTCTGGTTAAATTGATTAAGACGTTCTTTCACCTGGTTTAGTTCTTCTTCTTTTGTAACATCATCAGCCTTTTCAGTTGCACCATAGTTACTACTGAAAACCTCCACACTTTCTTCCTTATTACCATCAAACTTGTTCAAGATGAAATCTTCTAATTTTAACACTTTACTGAAAGTGTTCTTATTGATCAAGAAATGACATCTTGGATTTTTCCCCTCTTGATCTAATGTATCTAATTCATAATACTCTGAATAAACATTTATTGCACTCTCAGTAACATTATTTGAACAAGTCCCTATATGATGAATCATTCGATCAGTATAACTTCTTGTAGCAAACTCTTTACAAGATTGACATACATAAATTGATAATTTTCTTGGTATTGCATTTGAGAAATTTTGATCAATAAATTTAATATTCGAATCAGAGTCTAACCTTTTATAATAATTTGGTTTCTTGTTCCATATATCCCATTGATTTAAGATATATAAAATTGTATCAAAGTTTGGTGTCTTTTTTTCAATTAAATACATTTCAATTTCCTCGGTGAATGGATTCAATATTCTTGATCCTGAAATATTTGTAATGAGATTATTTGAATTGTTACATTTTATAACATTTGATATAACAACTATATTTTTTGATTGCCATTTTAATTGAGAATCAATGAAATCAGGTTCTGGTTCATCAGTTGAATCTTTCCATCTGCGACTAATTAAGAATTTTCTTGTTTCGTTTAATGAACCATCAAACCCATACCCAAGATATTCTTTAAATAATTGATCATTTAATTTGAAATTTTTCTTTTGGGCTTTTGTATGTAATTTAGGACAGAATCTAAAATGATCAATATCTTTAACAAACCCACCATATCCTAAACAAAGTTGGCATACATATATAGGAGTTTTCAATGGATTTATGTTATCAATTGGTCTATCTAGGATAACAATATTCTTTATTGGATCTTTGAAATCATGATAACGACTTGAAGTTTCAACTTTTCTTAAACAGTGGTCTAATGAATCCAAAACTTGTTTCAAATTTACATCTTTTGATGAATTTAAATTTTCTCGTAATTGTTGAACATTTTCTAACGATATGATTCTATTGATTTTTGGATCGAAAAACACTCTTGTTTCTTCATCAAATGTGAAAAAGTTTCCTAAAAGTATTTGATTTGGTGTATACTTTTAAATTGTAGTTAGTAAATGTCCTACTCATCATAGAAAGACCCCGACCCATAAATGATGAACATTGTACTTTCTAATGGGGGTTTTAACCCTGAAAACTCACCGTGACTTCCACAGTATTACCTTGTGAACTTCTTAGTCTAACCATGTTTTTGTTTCAATCTGCGATGAATTCTGTTTAACTAGTATTCCAATAACGTCCGACTGCATGAGAAGTTCAATATATAAATTATGTCTCCCTACAATTGTTTTTATTTTAAACCCGGATTGTTTTTTTAATTAGGTTATAGGTCAAAATCTGGAGTACCGTGGAAATCAACCTTCTGAATTAGATATTTGGGAGTAAACAGGACTTTAAACACTCTAGTATCTTTTTTACATGGATTCATCACAAATAAGTTTAAAAAGTTCCCAAATTCTCTCTTTTTCCGCTAATTTTGATCACTTCCATATGCTAAAATTAAAATATTCATGTCATTTTTTAAAGTGTCGCTAAATTGCACTATAATTAAAAAAAGTTGGCGGTTATAAAAACTTGTATAAACAATGAAATCAACAACAAAACAACTCTTTCACAACTTTTTGATTATTTGGTTAAATTTGTATCATGGCTGCTTATCTTGTGGTAAATAGGATGGTACTCATACCCGCTCATTTGGATTAAAACGTGTTGTGTGTTTTATGTCTTAATAGTGACTGGTGAGAGTTCCAGGGTTCCTACAGGTGGCCAATATGTTGAAGATTAAGGAATGGTACGATAGGTATCAACTTGCAACGCTACAATTGAGATGATTTTCTGGTTAAATTTCTGTTATTGAGTCTATTCCGTTCAGATTGACCTCTTCATGTTGGTTATTTGTGTCAAAGGGGGATTTTGTGAATATGCCACAAAAGCACAGTCTGTTCAGACAATTTTACAACTTCAAAGTTTGAATCATACTTCAAAATTGAATGTCAATCAGATCACTTAAGGTCTTCTATAACATACACTTCCAAATCTTTTGTGTTCTTGAAACGCTTATACTTGCTAACTTATCAATTTGCTCTACTATTACTACTATTGTGAATTTTTTTTTTTTAAATCATCATTTATTCCACATAATCACTTATGAGTTTCCCACAACCCAATGAACATTATAGTTCTATTTTAGAAAAATCCATAGTTAAGGTTATAGAGCTAAGATTATTATTACAGAAAACAAATGATGAGGGTCCATTTTTCAATGAATATAAAGCCACTCTTTCAAAATTCACTACTCAATTGAGAGAACTTGAGCTTAATGCAAATCACCAAAATCAAACTATACATGAGTTTGATAGGGAAATTGGGTTGTTATACATGACAAATTTTGCCATTCCAGTCAAACCATCATATTTTAAATCAATGAATCCAGTTCAATTTTACAGAGATGCTGATGAAATTTTTCAACTATTACAGATGATTATTCGTGATTGCAAAGTATCTAAACAGATGAAAGTCTTCATTCTCTCCATGTTTCAACTTTCATTATATTATTGCTTATCCAGGGCCCGTTTATCTGAACTTGCACCAGAAATATCAAAACCATTTTCTTATAAAGCTATTGGTTATTATCCAACAGGGAGAACAATTGTAAATGACCCATTCAAAGATAAGGATAAACCATTTTATATGCATGCTGCATTCAAAAATATTTCCAATGGATCAACATCCAAAATTATACATGCTCAAATGTTATATTCCTCGCTACCTTTTGTGCCTATGGAAACTTTAGCTGGACCCAAAAACATCTTGAAGTTAAAGTCACGCTGTACCAAAACCATTAATATGCTGACTGTGTCACGCTTGATTAGAGAAGAGTTTTTGACACCGATTTTGAGATTGTTAAAGATCCATTTTGGAGTTAATAATCTAGATATGATGCAGAAAGATGTGTTAATAAAGGATCAAATATTAGCAATTTCAAAAACTACAGGAGTTCCCAATACGGTGATGCGTTGTGATCCATCTGAACTACTCTTAATTGGTCAACTAGTTAAGTCATCCTTTGTGGTAATCATGCCAGTCTGGATTTGTGAACCGGGTACTCTAAGAGAACATATTAATGCGTTTGGAAATTGCAAAGATAAATCTCAAAGACGCAAAAGTCCTATACAAAATCTTATATGTGAAGCTGTTTGTCTTTTATATGTCAGTAAATCACGTTATGCTTTAATAACAGATTATAACAATTTCTTAATGATTTATATGAAAGAGGTTGAAAGAGGTACTGAAGGATCATTTGAAATTAAACAACTTGAACAAGATCCTCCAGTTTTCATGAAACTTGATTGTGAATATTGTGATTCTAGTGTTAGTCTTCATAGTCTAAGCTCATTCATTATAAATGCTACTTTTGCCTATATTACAAAGACCGGGGTTGGGAGAGAGCTTCATACAAACAACAAAATTGATACTGGAATTCAAAAAGGGCAATCCGGTGAAAGCTCAGTCTTTGAAGAAGATCCATCATCGAAGGACAATAAGTCTGGTGATGAAATTTCAAATGCTAGTGAAGATGGTTCCATTGTTGATGGTGAAGAGAGATCAACTACTGAATCTTCTCCAAGCCTGCAAAATTCATCAGGAGTGCATTTCGCAATACCATGGCAGTACCTATAAGAGTTTCGGGCTTTCAAGTTAATTGATGAAATATGTGATACATGGTTTACTGTGTTGTAGTATAATTTAGTATTGAATCATTGGAGTAGATTCTGCTTGGTCGCACTGCTTGTTTCTGGTTTACTTTCTAGATAAATGGCTAACCATCAATATTAATTTCAGTGAGTATTTGTTTTTCCTTTAATTTGATTGCCACAGTAATGGTTTTGTGAGCATTATATTACATTTTTGAATGAACCATTTTTCAAATATTAGCAGCTGTCTATAAATAATTAATTATACTGCCACAAAAACGGGCTTTTGTGAATGGGTAATTAAAATTGAAGATATTTTATTGTGATCTTGATACTGCAAAATAAATTAGTTTTTCAAGTATCAAGCTAACTTCTAGTCATCATATACTAATCTGAATTTCAGGTCTCTTTGCTGATCATATCGCTCGTCTATTATTTTGCTACATATAATATACTTTTTTTTTTGCTTCTTTTAACGTTCCACCATGCCACTACCAAATGCAACTTTGGGATCAATATCATACAATGCTGATGAAAGTTTATCTATCAATTGTGATGATCTTGTTAAAACTATTAAAAGAATCAAGGTTTTCAAAGATTTATGCAAATCAAGTAGTCGTGAGAAGTTCATTGAAATTTATAGAAGGTCATATGAGGGATTTGATGCACAATTTCAAGAACTAAAATTGAATAAAATGAAAAGAACTGATGAAAAGTTTGAAGTAGGAAAGAATATTTTATTTTTAACAAGATTTGACATCCCAATTAAAAAAGAATATCTTTTTCCAAAGAATCCACGAGTTTTTTATGATGCTGCTACTACAATTCTGGTCAAGATGATCCCCACTATTATAAAAAATCTTGGACAAGAATACATTGAAATAGAGCAATTTATCTGCTTTATGTTTCAATTTTCAGCATTTCATGCTTTGCATATTTTGGATCTTATATTAATGCCAATTTATGAACGTTCAAAAACATTTACTTCAACTTTTATAGATAATGACCTTAAAACTGTGAAGACAACCAATGGGTTCAGCCATTCTGACTCACCAATATTCATGAACGGTCTTTCCCTGGATATATTTGGTCCTTTTGGATATGTTTCAGATCCTAAGTCATTGCTTGCCTATTATTTCTATAATTTTCTGTCTGATTTTCCTCAAGGCTTGTTTATGAAGAAAATGTTAATGGAGACCCAAGACATATTATCGACAAAAGGTTTCAACAAATGTCACCACGGTAATAGTGAGAAATTATGGTTTTCAAACTATTTTTTACATCCAATTTCCAAGTTTGTGCTGCTCACAGGTGGTTCACTGAAGCGAGTGGTACTTGTCAATATTAACGAAGAAGGTGATGTTGAAACCCCCGTAAACCCATTAGTTTTTTCAAAAGCATTGGAGTATAAAGTTAAATGCTCTTCAATAGTTGGTGAGACTGTCTTGGCTGAAAACTCACATGATATTTCTGGTGATAGTTTCAATAATAAGAAGATAGACAAAGTTATTATGCCAGTTTTTCTTTGTGACCCTACTACTTTGGCCAAACTTATTGGTGAGTATAAAAGTTGCAAATTGGATCAAAAGAGAAAAGCACCTATTCAATATATATTATATCAAGCAGTTTCCCGTGCACTTGAATTTGGGTGTCATTATGCTTTAGTATCAGATACCTGGCTTTTTTTGATGATCATTTTAGAAGAAGTTGAAGACGGAACAGATGGCTCATTCAACCTTAATAATGGTGAAGTCGGTGGATGTTCATATAAGCTTAATTGTGAATTGTATGATATTTCAAATGGCGTCGATAGACTCACGTTGTTCTTTTTTGAGGCAGGTTTCAAGTCAAGAGCATCCGATACTGATGACCAAGTGTTCCCAAGATCAAGATCTAGACCTTCCACTGAAGAGAAAAAACAATCTACTGACATGGATCCCGAGCATACTGAATTAGATCAAGCTCCAGGTGAAGACATGGAACATTTACAGCAAGAGGATGATGATTCTGTGGATTACATGACGCTTAACAATTTTGTTTGATAGAAATCTACGTTTGTGTTATATGGATTTCAATTGAAGTATGTTAAAACAACTGTAGTTTATAACATCTATGAATTTGTATCTATCATAAATTGTTGGTCATATTAAAGTCTTGAAACTATTTAGACTTTTTCTGTTTCTTTAATAATTGGTCGATGGATCCATTAGATTCAGTTTTTGCTTCTTTTCTCTTCTTAGTGGCTTGTTTCTTGTCAAATTTATCTAATTGCTCTTTTCTTTCTTTAGCACCTTTCTTATCAAGTTCCTCAGCCTTTGCCAAAACTTCTTGATCATCTGCAGCTTTACCTGTTAGCCATTCTAACAACCTAATGGAAGGAAGAAAACGTTAGTATTTATCAATAGTAGAATTATAATGAACACAAAACTTACTTTATTTCTTCTGCCCAGACTGAATCATCTTTCTCCATTGGAGTTTCAAGAACAATTGGTATACCTTCAAGACGAGTTGAGTTTGAAATTGCTCTAAAAACTTCTAATCCTAAAAATCCATAACCTAATTTTTGATGTAAATCTCTATTTGCTCCTAATGGTGCTTTTGAATCATTCAAATGAATGGCTGATAAGTATTGTGGACCAATTAATTCATCAAATTCATCCAAAAATTTATTCAGTAGCTCCTCTGTACGAATATCATAACCTGCAGCGAATGTATGACATGTATCAAGACAAAATCCAATTCTTTCCTTATTTTCTATAAGATCTAATACATCTTTCAAATCTTGTAAGTTAGACCCTATTAAATTCCCATGACCTGCCATATTTTCAACAACAATCTTCACAGTTGATGTTTCTTCTATAGCTTTATTGATATTTTTAGCTAATTTTCTGATTGCTTCTGCGTGATCACCATCAAGACTTGAACCTGGATGGAAATTATATAAACCAATTCCTAATTGTTCACATCTTTTCAAATCGTCTAAGAACCCACCGTAAGCTTTTTCCTCTTTTTCCTTATCTGGATTAGCTAAATTGATGAAATATGAACCATGCGGTAAAATATCAGTTTTTGGATCATAACCATGTTCTTCACATAATCTTTTAAATTCAGCTTCTTCTTTTGCAGTTATTTGAGGAGAATCCCATTTTCTTGGACTTTTCAAAAACAATGCAAAACTATTTGCACCAATATTTCTTGCATTTATAACAGAGTTTGAAACACCTCCAGAAGCTCCAACATGAGCACCAAATTTATATTTAAGTCCAGCGGTTTTAACATAGTTGAAAGTTTTCTTTAAATCTTTTTTTCTTTTACAAGCTTGTTAGTGGAACAGTTGAGTCTATAATGAATTGTAACTCTAAACTCACGGTGGCATCTTTAGATGATGAATATAGTCAATAAATATAGTTTGTGGTTCGAATGCTTCTTCGATTCAGTTCAGTTTGCTTCCAGCTTTCAGATTTTTCGAGGATTAATAATTAACAAAACGGTTTTTTCTTTAACGCGTCGGTGCTCGGAGTTGAAAATTTACATTAATTGAAAAATCCAGGAATAATAAGTAAAAACTACTCTTCATTCATATTATATACACTATTTCTTCTTTGATTTCTTGTTTTTCTTCTTTGCAGCTTCTTCTGCAGCTCTCTTCTTTTTAGCAGCAGCCACTTGTTCTGGAGTTTTTGGTGCAACTTTGAAGAACCCATCTAATCTACCTTGAGTACCAGTTTTCAAACCTTTTTGTAATCTTTTGATACCACTTCTGATACGTTCTTCAGAGAATCCTTTTTCCACAACCATGTACTTCACAAGACCTTCTACATCTGGTTCTTTCCATTTCAATTCAATATCCTTTGGATCTAAAACATCAGGATTCAAAAATAATTCTCTTGCACCTTCATATGGCCATTCTTCGGGCACTTTATATTTGGAATCTGGATTTTCCTCTATAAATTTGATAACACCTTCAATTGTACCATGTTCTTTAATCAATTTGAAAGCAGTGACTGGACCAACACCTTTAATGGAATCACAATAATCACAACCTAATAAAATACATAAATCAACAAATTGTTTTTGATCCATTTCTAAACCTTGTAAGACTTTTTCAATATCAAGTTCTTGAATTGGCTCTTTACGTTGTTCTGAGAAAGTTAAATGACGTAACAAGTATGGAGTTTTATAACATAAAGTATCCATATCTTCTGAAGCAGCAGCATAAACTTTACCAGCTTTAGCTAAGATGGCACATTGAGCTTCAGCTTCACATGGGGCATTAACATATGGTATACCCATTAATCCCAAAAGTTTTTTAGCTTCTTCATTTTGTTCTTTTGTAACTTTAACAGTTCTTCTTTCAAATCTTGCAATTTCTTCAGCAGTACCAGTTTCTCTAATAGCATCAGCACTTTTGGTAGCTTCATCTCTACGTTCAAGACGTTTGGCCAATTCACTACCTTTCAAAACAGGAGGTTTACCATCAAAGACATAAACAGGTTTGATTGAATGATCAATCATACGTAATGTTCTATAAAACATACCCATTAAATGTGATGTGGTTTCACCATTATCATTTGTTAATTGTTGACCATCTTGTTGTCTAACGGCAATCAAGAATTGATATAAAGACATAGAAGCATCCTATGAATGTTAGATATTTGATATTTTGGGTTTTGTTGACAAATTACTTACAATTGCAACTTTTCTACCAAAGAAAGTTTTAATATCACTTGATTTTGATGCAAACGGAGCTTGTTCACCAATCAATTTGTTCAAACCTGTGTCATATTAGTATTTGAGTTCTCTATTATCAAAGTTTAAATGTAACTTACCTTTAATACCCATTTTAACAGTACTTTTCACTTGATTCCACTTGATTCCACTTGATATGAAACAAATGATTACTTCTTCAAAAGACGCGTTTCTAATATAATTTTTCAAACCGCGATGAGATTTTTTATGACACCAAAAATAAAAAAAATCAGTGTAAAATGATAGAAACATCCACCAAATTGGGTCAATTTCATTAATAATGAACATTTCTGTAGTAAATATAGTCATTTTCAACTGAATTTACCCTCAAAATGTCCTCTTGGGTACGCATTTCCCTCAAATAAACCTAAATAACCCCCAAATTTACCCTCCAGATCTCCTGCTTACTTCATCCCTGACATAATCCGCGCTTAATTTTCATGAATTTGTAAAAAAAAAAGCTGTTTATACTCAAAGTAAACATCGTCAAAAGATCAAAACATCAACAACTTTAACAAATCTTCAGGCTTCCATTGCAATCTGATCAATTGACTTCAGGATCACAAAATGTTTGGCAGATCTAACACAGGTAGTGGCTTTGGGGGCTTTGGCTCCAATACGGGCTCAACTTTCGGCTCTGGTAACACTGGATCAGCTTTCGGAGGTACTTCATCACCTTCAAACACTGGTGGTGGTCTATTTGGATCTACTGCTAATAACAATACATCTTCATTTGGTGGTGGCTTTGGTGCCAATAATAACACAACTGGTGGTGCTTTTGGTAGTAAACCAGCTACTGGAGGTGGTCTTTTCGGTGCTTCAACTACAGGTTCTTCACCATTTGGTGCTTCAAATACAAATACTGGTGGTGCTTTTGGATCTGGTTCAACTGGATTTGGTGCTAATACAAACACTGGTACCAGCACTGGTGGTGGTCTTTTTGGATCAAACAATACCGGTTCTGCCTTTGGTGGTTCAACAACTGGTGGGTTCGGTGCTACAAATCAAGCAAGTTCACCATTTGGTGCTTCATCAACTGGATTTGGTGGTTTAGGTGGTGCTGCTACTTCAAACCAAGGTACCTCAATTAAACCATATGAAGCTTTTTCTGAAAAAGATCCTACATCAGGTACAAGTATCTATGAAAATATCTCAGCAATGCCAGAATATAGAAATTATTCACCAGATGAATTAAGATTACAAGATTATGAACAAAATAGAAGATATGGAAACCAACAACCAGGTGAAACAGGTGGATTTGGTGCTGCTGCTTCTTCTCCATTCGGAGCTTCCAATACTGGTACAGCTTTTGGATCTTCAACTGGTGGTTTTGGTTCGAATAATAACGCTACTGGAGGTGGTTTATTTGGTTCTACTGCAAATAATAATACCGGTTCAGCTTTTGGTTCAAGTGGAGGTGCCTTTGGATCAAATAACAATACAAGTGGAGGTGGTTTATTTGGATCATCAAATACCAACACAGGTGGTGCTTTTGGATCAACAGCAAATAACAATTCAACCGGTGGATTTGGTTCTGGATTTGGTGCTAAACCATCAGCTTTTGGTGCTTCAAATACTGGTTCAACTGGTGGTGGTCTGTTTGGCTCATCAAATACCAACACAGGTGGTTCTCCATTTGGTGCTTCCAATAATACTACAGGAGGTGGTCTGTTTGGTTCAAATAACAACAATACTACTAGTGCATTTGGTTCTTCAAATACTGGAGGTGGTTTATTTGGTAATAACAATAACAACACAAATACAAATACAGGCTTTGGTGGTACTGCAGCCTCATCAAGTCCATTTGGTAATAATCAATCCAAACCAGCTTTTGGTGGATTTGGATCATCAAATAATACAGCTACAACTGGTGGTTTCGGCAGTGGAACTACTGGTGGATTTGGTGCAGCAAATAACAATACTGGTGGTGGTCTGTTCGGTCAAAACAATAATACAAATACCAGTGGTGGATTATTTGGTGCTAAACCATCTACACCAACACCTGCACCTGCATCTGGTGGTTTATTTGGTGCTAAGCCAGCAGCCCCAGCTGGTGGTGGCTTATTTGGTTCAAATAACAATACAAACACTGGTGGTGGTCTGTTTGGATCAAATAATAATACAAATACTGCATCCACTGGTGGTGGTCTATTTGGTGCTAAACCTGCAACTGGTGGATTTGGTAGCTCTCCAAACACAGGTGCTACTGGTGGTGGTTTATTTGGTGCTAAACCAGCTCAACCAGCTTCTGGTGGATTGTTTGGTAATAATAACAACACAGGTTCAACTTTTGGCTCAAATAACAATACTAGTGGTGGTGGTTTATTTGGCAATAATCAAAACGCAAACACAGGTTCAACATTTGGATCTGGTAATACTTCAGGTGGTGGATTATTTGGTAATAATAATAGCGCTGGTACTACAGGCTCTACTTTTGGTTCATCAAACACTGGAGGTGGGTTATTTGGAAATAATAACAATAACCAAACTCAACAACAAGGTGGATTATTTGGTGGAGGTGCTTCAACTGCACCAAAACCATCATTATTTGGTGGTGCTTCATCTACAGCACAACCTGCTACTGGAGGTGGCTTATTCGGTGGTGCAAAACCTGCTCAACCTGCAACAGGAGGTGGTCTGTTTGGTGGTAGTGGTGGATTTGGTTCATCAAACCAAACACAACAACAAGGATCATCATTATTCGGTGGTAATAATAACACAGGCGGATCATCATTATTTGGTCAACAATCACAACAACAAAATTCTTTACAAAATAATAATCAAAATCAACAAAATTTACAACAACCTTACCAATTGGTTGCTACAATTGATCAAAATCCATATGGTAGTAATCCATTATTTAACCAAGGTGCACAAAATAATGTTGTCAGTGCACCACAATCTACTGGTCCTATTGCTAAACCAGTTACATCTTTGGAACCAAAAAAACCAAAGATTACAAATATTTATAGATTAGCACCAAAACCATTGTTTGTTGCTAAAAAGGATTTAAATAAAGCTACAACTCATCAAGGACCATCATTAAATTCCACAACATTACAACTGATTGGTGGTGGTGACAATACTAAAACCCATTTCTTCAATTCAAGTACTGATGATGCTATATTGGCAAGTGAAATTTTTACTCCAAGAAAGAATTATAAAAACTTGGTTATAGATAGATCAAGATCTAGATCCAAAGAACCAGAATCAATTCAATATGGTGATTCACAAGATAATGGTGAAATAACACCACAAAAAGTTTTAACATTTCAAAGTAATGGTACACCAAAAACTGATGAAAAAGATACAAGCAGTAAAAAAATTCTATTTGGTGGTAATTCACAAGTTGAAAATAAAGAATCATCTAATGGTAATGTTTTCAGTGGATCAAATATTAGTTTAAGTACAAAACCAATAACAAGAGATGAAGATAGTACATATATTGATGAAGAAGGCTATTGGATGACACCATCAATTGAAGAATTAGAAAACTTATCGTTATTAGAATTACGTAAAGTTAAAGATTTTACAGTTGGTAGAAAAGGATTTGGTAAGATTGAATTTTTAAAACCAATTGATTTAACAAATGAAAGTTCATTAGCCAAGATTCCTGGTGAAATTATCATTTTCCAAAGACAATCATGTATTGTTTATCCAGATCATATTGATGATTCAGAAAATGAAGATGGAGAAAGTTCTTCAAAACCTGCTAAAGGTGAAGGATTCAATGTACCAGCTAAAATCACATTAGAAAATTGTTATCCAATTGCTAAAGATACAAGAAAACCAGTTAAAGATGCATCACATGAATTAGTTAAAAGACATATACAAAAACTACATAACATCCCACATACTAAATTTGTTTCATATGATGTTAAATCTGGTACCTGGACATTTACTGTTGAATCAACAGTATGAAAAAGTTCTATTATATAACTTTGAACAATTTTTGTGTATAGTACTGTCTAAATAATTTACAACAATTTAATGAAGCCGTTTTTTTAACCCACAAAAATAGCCTATAAAGACTCTTAAAGAGTCGCAAGTTCATGTACAAATTATAGGTTTGGCCAAAACCCCAGAAATTCATGTATGTAAAATTTGATTATCGAATGAAAGTTGTTCAAAAAAAAACGGCCGTACTTATATAGAAATAGAAAATAGAGATACTACTCTGGGTTTACTTTACCCGAGGATCTAAACTTTTAAAAAGGTACCAATATATTAAACTCTTTGGTATATATCTATACTTCCAGGTTCAAATGATTCACACTTCTTCAGTATTGTGTGATCTTACTACGTTGTCGAATATCGCACTTACCAGCCAATAGCCTCCAATGCGACTCAGTTCAAAGTTCAAACCTCTCACCTTTGTTCATTAAAGTTCTTTTTGGTGGGTACCTGTAATTGCAAATCTCAATTTAGATGTTAAATGTTCCTCCAATTGGACAATCGATAGAGCCTATCCTTTCCTCTCGAGAACTTGAAAGTTTATCTATATTAATTTTCCGCAATTTTTGCGAAATTATGATTTTTAAATGCGAACGTTTGTTTTTAAAAAAGGTTCTTTAAAATACCGAAAGCGGTAGTGCATTTACCCGATTGAGTCCTTTTAGCTATTTTAGGAGTTTTGCAAAAACCTAAAGTTTGAGAAACAATTGGTCAGTTAAAGGTTGTAGAGTATTTTAAAAGGCTGGCAAAAATAAAGAAACGAAAACAAGATTGGGATATATCAAGTGGGTAGTTTAAAAGTTCCATGAAACATGAGAAGAGTGAAGTAGATATGTTTTAGGCTCAATTGTAGTGTAGTAATATTTCAATGCAACTTGATATCTTTGTAAAAGTGTCGTTAATATGTATCGGCTATCGGCAGGGAATTTTAATCTCCTTTAAGACCTAAGACCTAAGCTGGTAGTTGGGAAAGATTCGTAGAGTGTTCCTCTTTCAGCTTCTGTTGCCAGCCAGCTGCCAGAGAGCCTTCCCAGCTTCCAAGCTCCCACCGTTTGAGTCTCCCTATCGGTTGATCCTACGCTCTTTTGAGAAAATTTAATTAATTCGTTTTTCGGTGGATACGTAATAAACGCATTTCGGAATTACTTAAATAGGCAATTATGGTTGTTTCTTTGCGTAAATTAATTCGCAAAAAATCGACAATTCGTCAAGTTTTTTTGTTTTCGTTGAATTATGAAAAACATTGAAATAAGTTTTAAATTCTTTCCTTCTCTTCTTTTCTTTGAATTTTGTTTATAATAAAGTTAATAACAAAGTTATAAATTGTATGTGAACCTATGAATTACTATTAAAAGTGAATTGATAACTAACAATTGTATTAGAATAATTAATTAAAAATGCTTCCAGCCGGTGTTATCTTAGTTTTCGTTTTAGTTGGTTTAATCGGTGAGTATTAATCATATTAAAAGGATAAAAATCCTTGAATAAAAAGACCCATGTGGACAAGAACTAACAATTTTTCTTATAGCTATTGCTGTTGGTGCCGTTGTCATCATGAACACCATCAAAAAGAGAAGATCTGCTTTACAACAATTCTAAGTTTAAACTTTACTTGTTTATAAAGAATTCCAATCAAATTTAGATTTATATACTGAAGGAATTTCTTTTAATCATTAAAAAAAAAAATGTTGCATGGTTTAATCTTATTTTTTAATTAAATTAATTCTATTTTTTCTATATCTTTTATAATTTTTCATTCATACCACGGTTTATTACTTTTTTTTTATTCACAAATGGTTGTTATAATTTTTTGTTTTGTATTTTTGCAGAGATTTTCAATTTTTTCCACCAGGTACTATTACTACTATTCAAACTACTCATAAATAAAACATCAATAAAATACAAAATGATATAGAGTTTTCCATTGATGGATGAATTTTGATGCTATAGGAGATGAAACAATACATTATTTGCTAGATGCTTGATATTGGTTATTTTATTTTCCTTAGTCTTTGTTTAAGGATACTCTTTTTAATGTTTAATTATCTGTTAGAATTTCAAGATTGTAGAAGTAAAGCCGTATGTGGCTACATTAGATGTAAACTATAAACCCTATTCTACTTCAATCAATCCATAATTCACTTATCTATCCAAATTAACCGAAAATATTAGTTTATTATATTTTGTATGGGTATGATCACGTGACCGAGAGTTACCCTTTTCGACCCACTTTTTTTCAAACTTTTTCAAGACTTTTTCCCAATTGAACAATTTTGATGCTTTTTTCCCTTTTCATCAACTTGATAACAAAAGCACATATCCAGGAATAACAAAACATAAACAGTGAGTAACTTCGGATAATACAGTGGTGATAATGGGAACAATTAAACAGTGCTTTTACAGAGAGACAACAATGGGATTATAATAAGATAGACTTGGTCTTTTGAAAGTATTGAAATTCAATTACAATTGATTAGTTTTATTGGGTTCTCGAGTACAAATTAGGTCAACTACCCCTTTGGGATGCTCAAAGATGAAAATTACCCATTTAGGATTGATAACAAGATGGATTTCAACAACATGAACTAAACAATCATTGTGGAAATATGTGTTTATCAAAAACTATTCAATTCAATTCAATTATGTTCTCAGTTTTTTTTTTGCCATCGTTTGGATTTTGCAAACCCCTTAAATTTTTTTGTTTCTTCCTTGTTAAATTATTGGTGAATTTTTAATTCGGGTTTCCATGGTAACAATCCAAATTTATTCCAAAACAAATATTGAGAAGATTGATTTAAACCCATTGTTTTAGTTATATGCATTGGCAGTATATTCATTGGTGTTAATACTATAGCTTCAATTTGTTGATCCCAACTTTACCACTGTTGTTTTTGAATTTTCATTGTTCAATTTACTAACTTTATTTCCCCAGATGTCTGAAATTACTGATCCAAAAATTGATGATAATCAAGATGATTTGGTTGATAACAACCAAGGCTTACAAAACAATGCCAATCAAAATGAAGATTTAGAAGATGATGATGAAAAACCTTCATCTTCAAGAGAAAGAAGAAAAATTGAAATTAGATTTATTCAAGATAAATCAAGACGTCATATTACTTTCTCTAAAAGAAAAGCTGGTATCATGAAGAAAGCTTATGAATTATCTGTTTTAACTGGTACTCAAGTTTTATTATTAGTTGTTTCTGAAACTGGTTTAGTTTATACATTCACTACTCCAAAATTACAACCTTTAGTTACAAAACCAGAAGGTAAAAATTTAATTCAAGCTTGTTTAAATGCTCCAGAAGAATCAGGTGAAGATGAAGAAGCTTCAACTCCAACAAACTCTTCAAATCAACAAGCTCAACAACAACAAGCTCCTCCTCAACAACAAGCTCAACAACAACAAGCTCCTCCTCAACAACAAGCTCCTCCACAACAAGCTCAAAATCCAAATCAAGCAAACCCAAATCAACCTCCAGCAGGTCCTGGTGGATATCCTCAACAACCTGGATTACAAAACTTACCACCAAATTCAGGTTATTTGAACCCTGAACAAGCTGCTGTTTATCATACTTATTTCGGTAACATCAACAATCAACAAGGTCAATACTAATTGATAAAATTAAATTAAATTAAAAAAAAAAATGTAATGTTTTTGGGGGTCAATTTTTTGTTCTAATCTTTTTCTTATTTCTCTTTTTCACTAATCTTCTCTATTTTTTTTACCATTATATATTGAAATTACTTTTCTATATTTTTTCTTTCATTGAGGTGATTTGATTTTTTACATATTATTTAAGGGAATTCCATTTGTACAATATATATATAAACATATTGATTTATAAGATATGAATCACAAACTTTTAATATGAATATACTTTTGTTTATGAATTTGAATAATTTTGTAAGGTAATATTGAAATATTCCGCGAATATATTTTTGATTTTTTGTTTGACGCGCTCAAAATTGATTTTGAATACTTAACAAATACTAAAACCAGATACGTGAAAGAGTGACATAATAATCAATTCCTTAAGTTATATTTTATATTCATTGAAATTAAACGTCTAACGGTGATTTAGAAGACACAAAAGTACCAAATGTCGGACAAGGAAAACGTTGATGTACCAGTGGTTGATGCTGAGCAACCTGATAAAGTTGAAGGTGAATCAATAATAGATCAAAATGAACATGAAAAAGATCAAGAAAATCAAAATCAAGTTGATCAAGACCCAAAAGATGGAAACCAATCTAATGATCAAAAAGATGAACCTAAAATAGTTGATAACCAAGCAAATAATGATTATGGTGATCTTCCACCTGGTACAATTGTCTTGGGTAAATTGAAAAGTTTCCCTCCATGGCCTGGTATTGTTGTTCCATTTGAATTAATTCCAGAAAGTATTCAAAAAGTTAAACCAAAACCAAAACCTCCTGTTGTTCATCATGCCAAAAATAAGAGAAGATCTTTAGCTAAAGTTGATAAAAATGAACCTTTTGATTCAAGACTTTGGTGTGTTAGATTTTTAAAAGATGATACATTTATGTGGGGTGGTGTAAAAGATATTTCAATATTATCAAAAGATCAAATTGAAAAATTTTTAAATGATAAAAAGGGTAAAAAATTGATTAAAAGTGCTTATGAAATGGCATTGAATCCTCCTGATTTAGAAGAATTCATAATTTGGGGTAGTAATGGTAAACCAATTGAAATAGATAATGAAGCTAATGATGCTGATTTTGAAGAAGGTGAAGATGATGTTCAAGATGAAGATCAAGAAGATGATGGTGATGATGAAGATGAAGTGGAAGATGAAGATTTAGAAGAATTAAAAGAAAGTAAAAAAAGAACTAAAACTACAAAAGCTAGAAGGGGTCGTCCACCAGCTAAAAAATCTAAAACTACAAAAGGATCAACACCAAAAAAATCTGAACCTGTTAAAGAGAAAAAAAAACCAGGAAGAAAGAAGAAAATAGTAGAAGCCTCACCGGAACCGGAACCTGAACCTGAAACTTCAGGTGATGAAGATTGGGATGTCATTGATGAAACCGAACCACCAGTTGCTATAGAAATACCGTCTGCTAAAGTTTTAGGAGATGAATTGAAAAAGAAAACACCATTGATTAAAAAAGCGAGAATAACATTACAAGATTATTTCTTGGAGGAGAAAGAATTATCAAAAGATTCCAAAAATTTAAAACAAATTTCATCAATTTTAGAATCTTTAGAAAAAATAACAAATGTTCAAACTTCACTTATAAAACATTATAATTTACATAAAGTTCTTATTGATATTTTGAAAAGACCAGATTTAAATGAATTTGGTAAAGAAATTAAAAATTTCAGAAATAGAATTGAAAGTTTAGTTCAAAATTGGTTTAATATTGAAATTCAACCAAATGAACGTTGGGATTTTACAGAGAAAAATGATGAACAAGAATCACAAGAAGGTCAAGAACAAGATGCTCAAGATGGTACTAATGAAATTAAAGATGAAGTAAAAGATGAAAATCATGCCACTGAAAATTCTGAAGCTAAAGAATCAGAAGTTAAAGAAGAAAATAAAGAAGATAATAAAGAACCAAATGGTTCAACTTGAATGTTTGTCGTTTATAAATGTATTATAAAAAAAGCCTCTTATAGAAAAGAATATACATAATAATGTAAAATTTTAAATATATAGTACTGCACGTATTTACCTACGTCTGTTAGATATTCGTATATATAAAACAATATTATCGACGTTCAAGTATTACCATCGGCCGGCTTTTAAATTATTTGAGACCATATAATTGAATTTTATTGCAAAATTGAACAAAAAATACATCAATTTTTGAAAACTTCCTCCCTCTATCTTAAATCACAGCTGCTGGGCATATTCAGGATCAATAAAAAAAAAGATTAAGCTTCATTTAACACTTTAATAGTATCAAAATTCGAAAAGAAGCAAAAAAATAAAGATTGCGATTTCTGTGGATTGAACACAGGACCTTTAGATCTTCAGTCTAACGCTCTCCCGACTGAGCTAAAACCGCTTCTTCTTGAGTTTTGAAATCTTCTTGATTTTCACGTTTCTTTTGTTTTGTGCCCCTTACCAGTTTCGCCGCCAGATCTCGCAGAATTATTATCAGTGAATCATCATTTATCTTAATTGATCTTTTTGTTATTCAATTACTTCAATTTAGTGTTTTTGAACATTTGGCACCAGTTCAATATTAGAGAATAGCAGAAGAATCATCAAAAATGAGTAGTGAAAATATAATTGAGTGGAATAGATTGGGTAAATCGGGTTTGAAAATATCTAAAGTCATCATTGGATTTATGTCTTACGGTTCAAAAGATTGGGCAGAATGGGTTGAAGACGATGAAGAAAAGATATTCAGGATTTTGAAAAAGGCTTATGATATGGGTATTAGAACTTATGATACTGCTGACTTCTATAGTAATGGTGTTTCAGAAATCATTTTGGGTAAATTTTTGAAAAAATATGATATCAAAAGAGATAAGGTTGTTATCCTTAATAAAGTTTTCTTCCCAATTGATGAAGATTTAGACTTGAGACATACAGGTCTTGGTCCTCATGTTAATTCAATTGATCTTGTGAATTCCAGAGGCTTATCAAGAAAGCATATTATTGATGGTGTTGAAGGTTGTGTAAAAAGGTTAGGTACTTACATTGATGTTTTACAAATTCATAGATTGGATCCAGAAACTACAGGTGAAGAAATTATGAGATCTTTGAACACTATAGTGGAGAAGGGGTACACACGTTATATTGGTGCTTCATCTATGAGAGCAACGGACTTTGTTGAGCTTCAACATATTGCTGAAAACCATGGATGGCATAAATTTATCTCCATGCAAAATTACTACAATTTACTATATCGTGAAGAGGAAAGGGAAATGATCCCATACTGTAACAAAAGTGGTGTTGGTTTAGTTCCATGGTCACCAAATGCTAGAGGTATACTAACAAGACCCATTGCAAAGACCACTGATAGAATCAAATCAGATCCAACGTTTGTTTCTTTAGGTTTAAACAATTTATCAGAAACAGATAAGGAAATTGTTAATAGAGTTGAAGAGATATCAAAGAAAAGGGGTGTTTCAATGGCAATTGTCTCTAATGCTTGGGTGATTAGTAAAGGTGCCTCCCCTATCATTGGTTTAAATAGTGAAGATAGAGTTGAAGAAGCTGTTGCTGCTACAAAGTTTAAATTGACAGAAGAGGAAACCAAATATTTAGAAGAGCCATATCAACCAAAAAGGGTGCTAGGCCACTCATAATTAAACTTGTATAACTAAATTTAAGTAAGATATTTCGAAAGCTTGTTAATCTGATCTTTAAGGTGATCTAATACCTTAATATCTTTAGAATTTCTTCAATAATCGCAAGTTCTATAACTTTATGTTTATTATGAAGCTTCGATCATTATGTTATTATAGTAGAAACCCGCTAAAGGATTACCATTAATAAGGTAATGTTATAAAGCTATAATAGATGCCATAAAAGTGTGGCTTCGAGCTTTGATCTAAGACCCCATTTCTTGTCCGGGAATCGAGGGATGAAATGATGATTAAAACCAATTGTTTCTTCATGATCGAGTATATTATAAAAATTATCCAGTATATTGACTTTTCAATACTCAATTGGCTCTGTTAAATGCAAAATCGGAACTCCGTTCCCATAGTACTATATAACTTGAACTGTTCTGAAAGTTTAATTAAATGAACCTTCAGTCCTAAGAAAATTATTTCATTTCAACTATAAGATCGGAGGCTTTAAGATTTAATAAAGTAGGTATTATGCTGGATCATGAAGCAAGGAGTTAGGAAGATCAGAATTTGTCGTTAAGATAACCATTTTCGAACGTTATTGTGGATTCATATACAAGCCACTAATTCCGAAAAAGATTTGATCCTCAAGTTTCAACTTTCAACTCGTGTATAAAAGGAGTGAGTTATGTCAATTTTAACACCTTTTAAAATTAACTTATCAAATAATTATACTAACATAAAGAAAAATGAGTGAAGAAAAGATTATTGAATGGACCAGATTAGGTAAATCAGGTTTAAAGATCTCCAAGATCATTATTGGTTTCATGTCTTATGGTTCAAAGAAATGGGCTGATTGGGTTGAAGATGATGAAGAAAAAATCTTTGCTATTTTGAAAAGAGCTTATGACTTAGGATTGAGAACTTATGATACTGCTGATGTCTACAGTAATGGATATTCAGAAATTATCTTGGGTAAATTTCTAAAGAAATACAACATCAAAAGAGATAAAGTTGTTATCTTGACTAAAGTTTTTGGTCCTGTTGATGAAGATTTGGATTTAAAACATGGTACTCGTGGTCCAAATGTTAAAGATGTTGACTTGATTAATTCCAAAGGTTTATCAAGAAAGCATGTTATCGATGGTGCTGAAAACTCTGTTAAAAGATTGGGTACTTATATTGACGTTTTACAAATCCATAGATTAGATAAAGAAACAGAACCTGAAGAAATTGTAAAAGCTTTAAATGATGTTGTTGATTCAGGTTTGACCAGATATATTGGTGCTTCCTCAATGAGAGCTACTGAGTTTGCTGAGCTTCAATTTACAGCCATCAAGAATGGATGGCATAAATTTATCGTGGTTCAAGATTATTATAATTTGTTATACCGTGAAGAAGAAAGGGAAACTATCCCATTTGCTAAGAAACAAGGTGTTGGTATCATTCCATGGTCTCCAAATGCTAGAGGTGTGTTAACTAGACCGTTTAGTGAAACCTCAGATAGACATAAATCTGATCCTCAATTCAAAAATTTAGGACTAGACACACTAACAGATGAAGATAAAGAAATCATCAATAGAGTTGAAGAAATTGCTAAAAAACATAATGTTTCATTAGCTGTTGTATCAACTGCTTGGGTTTTAAGCAAAGGTGCTAATCCGATTGTTGGTTTAAACAGTATTGAAAGGGTTGAAGAGGCAGTTGAAGCTTCAATCTTTAAACTCTCTGAAGAAGAGACCAAATATTTGGAAGAGCCATATAGACCAAAAAAGGTTATTGGATTTCCACAATAGGTTTTATAGTCTTTTTATAAATATTTAGAGCTTCCAATAAATAGTTACCCATGTCCCATGCAACAAAATTTTGGTTTTCATGGAAAGTCATGATTAATTCGATCCCAAATTTTTTTATGAAGTACATGTATCATGTAGAAGACAAACTACAAAGAACTGTTAATTGACAATAGGTCGGTAAGTTATTAAAAAATAAGTGTTGGAACTTGAAGCTCTAAAAAAAATTTTCTGGGGTTAAATGGGGTTGTGTGCGCATGCCCGGAGTCGAACCGGGTTCTCAAGTATGGGAAACATGAATCATAACCGTTAGACCACATGTGCGATTTTAACTCAAAATTTCTGAAGTTGCCTCTATGTTATACTTTTTGATGTGTTCCCTAACAGGTTATCGTGGCCAAACGATGATGTAATTGTTCAAAATGTTATATTGAAATTTATTATAAAATGTTAATTAATATATTATTGAGATAATTGTATATATGAATGATAAACTATACTCCCGAAGTACGTACTCGTTGTTATAAAATCAAGCTAAAATTCAAAGTTTGATCATGATC